GAGCTATCTGTTTCTACCATTTGATGGCCTCCACCATTTTCTGAACAATTTTACAATGGGATTTCCAAGCTGATATGTATTCCATCAAGTTCTGTTTTACAAATAACATCATCCTCACTATATTTATATCCCACTTTTTTTTCCTGGACTGGAACTCAAAGCAGTTTACAGAAATCAAAAAATTACAATAAAAGCACATACAGTTGAGCTGAGATTGAAATAGTATTAAACTAACAATAAAATTAAAAATATTTAAAATATTACTTTAAAACAAAAGACTGAACATAGAACAGCAGTGTAAAACGATGTTTGTTTACAAGCAATTTGCAAGGCTTGCTGGTATAGAATGGTCTTAACCTGCCACCAAAAAGACAGTAAGGAAGGAGCCATCCTAACTTGTATAGGGAAGAAGTTCCAAGTGAGGAAGCAGCTACAGAGAAGACCTACTCCCACATGGCTACCAAACATGTGTACAGGTGAAAACAGAGGGACAGAAAGATCTTAGAACTCATGCAGGATCAAATTAAGCATTGGGGATGGAATAGGAAAGCAGACAAGTTGAACATATCAGAAATAGGGAGGACCTTTGCTGTTGTTAACTGCCTTTGAGTCAATCAGAACTCATGGTGACCCTAAGTATGAGACATCTTCAAGACTCCTCATCCTCCACTACTCTACCTAGGTCCTGTAAATTCATACCCATTACTTCCCTGATAGAGTCTATCCATCTAGCATGTGGCCTTCCTCTCTTTTGACATCATTCCACTTTTCCTAGCATTGCTGTCTTTTCTAACGAGTCAATATGCCTTCTCATGATGTGGCCAAAGTACGACAGCCTCAATTTGATTATTTTGGCTTCAAGGGAGATTTCAGGCTTGATCTGTTCAAGGACCCATTTGTTTGTCTTTTTGGCCATCCACGGTGTCCTCAGTACTCTTCTCCAGCACCACATCTCAAATGAATTGATTTTCTTCCTATCCGCTTTCTTTACTGTCCAGCTCTCGTATCCATACAGGGTGATGGGAAATACAATGCCATCTATGATTCTTACTTTCATGCTCAATTGTATATTTTAACTCTTTGGGATCATTTCTAATTCTTTCATAGCAGCCCTCCCCATTCCTAGTCTTCTTTTGATTTCTGGACAGTCAGATTCTTACAG